CTGATGGTTTTTTGCAACTGAGCGAGTCCATACACGCACACCAGGATTCATCATCTTGTTGAAACCCGATGGCGTTCAATTGAAATAGATAATCAATATCTACAGCAAAGAGAAATGGAATCAGGCAAGTTTCTAACCCGTTGAATGGTGGGTTACCAAGGGTGTGGGTAGGTGAGGGTGTGATCGAATAAAACACCCAGACCCGTTATCTTCTAAAGACGAATATGTTACGAAAGAGCAATATCTAAAACTCTTCAAAAGTAACATTAGTTAACTTACAAGAGTTTTAAGATTCTATTGCAATAAACAAGCAAAAGAAATAATAATACAATACTTATGCACTTATCTTATAATCATCCAAAAGAATTCGCTACACATCACTAGGATGCTCTAGAATTCATCGAATTCGCAGTAATCATCACTTCCTTTCTTTAGTCATATGCTATGGAACCAATCAGCACAATCGTTTGTGTTGACATCAAATGTTACAAAGAAAAAGCTTACAGATGATGAAGAAAAACGTGTTTGTAGCGTACATGGAAAACGTGTGTAATCAAAGTTTACCTCCACGTAGACACTTAAGGTGTGACATGAGAAAGAGGAAGAAGCAGATGCCGATAGTTGCCATTGTGCATAATTTGCATAAACTTCATTGGCTCTTTCGGATGTTTGCCTCTCTATGAATCAATGTTGGAAAATTGCTGCATTACCATGAGCGTCAGTTTCTTTTCTTCTTACATAACTCCGCTTTCACATTTCGAGTAACTCTAGCACTTATACCGATCACAGAAATCATATTTCTGAAGTGTTTTCTTCATGTCACGTCAAATGTCTGACGATCCCTATGGACCATCTCGTCATCATGTAACTCTTCAATCGCATCAATCATCGAATAGTTCATCTAGACGAAATATACCTCCAGCACCAAGAGATTTTGCTTCTCAATCTACCTTTCAATCCCATCCGCAAAGAAATATTGCGTTTCCTCCTTCTCATTCTTCTCATCACTATCATGGAGAATATTCAGACTCCGATGGATATCCAAATTCAATAAGATTATCATCCAATCGTATGAACGTAAGTCAGAGACTTATATTGAAGAAACTGATTTTTCATATTTGAATGATTAGAATGTATATGACAATCAACCGGATCGACCATATCGATTAGAACCTCCTCCTATGCATTCGCCTGTACGTCATTCTCAATCATATCATGCTGACCATCAAAATCTTTCGCATTCATCTAATCGTCATTATTTTAATAGTCAACACCCATCACCAGACTATTCTTTGGCTTCTCAAGTATATCGTCATGATCAAAATTATCCAACATATGAAAGAAATTCTGATCAATATGATCGAAGATATCATCGAGAAGAAACTCATCCCTCCCAATCCTATCCACTACATTCGTAAGTTAAACTTGTTTTTTGTCGATTCTATCACTTTTGATATTTTCTAGAAGCCATCGATCGGTCGATATTCCATTAGAACGCCAACATTCAAATCCTGTTCGATCTTTCGATCATCCTTCCTCTTCCTTGCATAATCTGTCAATTGGTCGATCGTCTGATCCAACTTCTATTCTAAATCATGTTCTACAGTGCGTATTTCAATGCATGTTTCTTTTGAAGAAACATACTTTTCTTTCAGAACTTTTTTTGGCGAACATAGTTCACCCTTCCGCAATGATGATGTTGATCGTTCAACTTTAGATCCAATGAGTCTATTTGCTGCTGCATTGATGATGGGAAGGCCTGATGTTTTTACTGCTCCTGGTGCTCTTCATATTCACTTTGGGGTAAGTTCTTTATTTGAATCTATATCATTGATTAGATTATTTTAAGGACCTATTCGATTTACTTCCTCGTGGTGAGCCACCTTCCGTTGGTCTATGTGACAATGATATCGAACGTTTACCTACGATGGCCTATCGAAAAACAAGTAAATCGAGCTCCACTGACGAGAAATGTGCAATTTGTTTAAGTGAATATAAAACTGGTGAAATTGTCAAACGTTTACGATGCAAACATTTCTTTCATCCCGAATGTATTGATCCATGGCTAAAGGTATGCGATGAAGAAATTGTTCTTCTTGTAATTGAGTTTGATGTCTTCTAGACATCAACGCAATGCCCAATCTGTCGTCGTCAACAAACTGATTAATTGGAAGTTTTCATGAATTGGATCAGTCATTGATTTATGATGAACTACTTTTTATTTTCATATCTTCTTTGTAATTAGTTGTCGATTAACTATCTTTCAACCTGAAGTAGTAGGACATTTTTCTGTTAAAACAATTACTCATAATCAAGAATCAAATGTTCACCGAGAAGCAGTGTTTTATCAAGGGATCGTTTTTCGGATGCGCGGTTAAAATTTTTGTAGGAGCTGCTGATGCCAGCTAAAAAATGTGTTGCTGTATAGCAAAGCCACACAGAAACTCTCATTTATTTATTTTTTACAACACTATTGCGTGGTTCCACCGAAAATCTCCCACCTTTACGGTGACCTAAAGCAGGGTAAGCGTGGGTGTGCCTGTGTTTGGGTGTGAGTCTTCTCTTCATGCACACCCACACCCCACACCCGTTTCCGTGGCGAAAATATGCTTATTTTTCAAGTGAATCTTTCTCAGCTAACAGAAAGTCTAGTTAAACTCACTAATTTTACTTTAGTTCGTACAATACGTTAATCGTTCAACAATAAAGAACTATCAAAGTCTCATGCAATCGAATATTAGCTTATGTTTATTCAGTCGATATATTGATATGAGAAGTTTGCTGTGAATCTCATGAAAATGATAAATATTAAGTCATGAGATATTATGAAGACCAATGAATGGTATTATCTCATATGACTTATCATTGTAGAGTTTTACTTGAATGAATCCGAGATTAATTTTGAAAAATTAAACTATCAATTCGTATATCACAAATCGTAAAACAATTCATTTGAAAAAAATAATTATTATACATCTGTTAACTGTAATCTTCAATAAAAGAATTTTATTTTATCAAACAAATATATACTTTTATAATATTTTTCTTTTTCTTTTCGATGAGAATATGTTCACTGTATATTGTTGAAATTCTATTGTAATTTAATAACATTAAATTGAAAAGTGAATGCGTATTGTACTTAAACCAGATATTTTCAACACAGAATTTATCAAATTGAAGATTCAGCCTTTATTAAATATTTCATTAATCCTAAAGAATCAGTTTCTGTTGATAAGTTGACTATGATTTTTCTTTTTTTTATTTAATTTATATAGGATGTGTTTCATTTCATCGAGTTGTACTCGAATTTTACCACCATTGATCGGTAATCGATAGAGAGAATCCACTAGACGAAATATGTCTTTTATTTATATAACATCGGTAGAATCTGATGAGTCAGCTGATATCATTATTTCTCCAACTACCCTTCTTTATTAAAGTGTATACATGTGTATAATCGATCAAGAACTTTTCAAACCAACAATAATACGATCATTTTGAGTTCTAGCATTATTTTTTAGTTGTTATTTTCAAATAACACGTTCAATATATTCCAAAAATAGAATCATTTATTGAATCTTCAATAAGATATTTAATAGTTTTTATTAGAGATTGAGTGTTATGATTTCTATTTAAGTCAATATTAATCATTTTGAAAAATAAATACAGCATTTTTTTATGAGCATTCTTTTTCATGATTTATGGAAACCATTTCATTAGCAAATAAACTCTGCTGCAAATAGCCAAATTATCATACAAGCAAACAAAAAAACCTGATTATGTGGAGATTCTCCTATACATTAGTAGAATCCATTTTGGAAAATTGATTCTTTAAAAATTATTTCTGTAGCTTATTGAGTTTTACGATATTTAAATTCATAACAATATCTACGTGCAGTGTGGACAATAGTTTGCTTCCGTCGTCATGATGACCCGTCAATTCTAAGTAAAAGAAATTTAGTGGAATAGCTAATAGGAAAAAATAATGAATTGAAAATGTGTCTCTTTATTGAAAACGTATCGTGGAGGGTGTGGGTGTGGGTATGGATTAGGGTGGGGTAGGTGTGGATGTGGGTTGGGGTGCGGTGGGTGTGGGTATGGGTGTGGATTGGGGTGGGGTGGGTGTGGGTGTGGGTTCCCAGGTCCAGATCGGTACGTCGGAACCGATCGGTTCCGTTGAATTCCGACGATTTCTTTACTACAGGATTCCGGTCCAGATTCCGTTGGACCAGTTCCGATCAGTTTCCATCGATCCCGACGACTTCCGACGAATTCCTGGTCGAAATTTTGCAGAACTTAACGAAATTTTTCCGGCGGAAACTGGACCGGAATCCTGTAGTCAAGAGATCGTCGGAAGTCAACGGAGCCGACTGAAAACCAACGGAATCTATAGGATCCGCTGCCGGAAAACAAAGGAAACAAACGGTTCCGGCGATCGAAACAGTGGACCTGGGAATTGTGGTAGGGTGGGTGTGGGTGTGAATGTGGGTTGGGGTGCGGTAGGTGTAGGTGTACTTCTCTCATTTACACTCACATCCACACCCCACCCACCCACACCCACACCCACACCTCATCCACATCCACCCACACCCTTTACAATCAAATCGAAACATATGCTACATACTTGCACATACAATCAGATTCGATGCAACCTATGAGTATGCGAACAATCTTACAAATATCTGATACCACGACTAGAAGTAAGCAGGACGCTGTAATTGAAACCGATAGCAATTACCATACCGAATACTGTGATTGCTAGTAAGCATGCGACGATATTTGAAATCGATAACCATACTCATAGTCAACGCCGCAATTCACTTTTAATCTTTTCTCTGAAGGTAAATATAATGGTAAATCATAAGATACTCGTTTGTAACGTTTCATTAATTTTTGAAACACGGTGCAATACTAGCTCACTTATTTGAATCATAAACGATTGTTAATTGAAGTTCGTATTAGACAGAAACAGGTATATCGTCAAAAACAATATTACTGATGTTAGCACGTTCTGCTTGCTCTCTGTTGAAAGTGACACGTAGAGGTGATGACAATGACTATTTTATTGCATGTTGATACGACGCAAATGAGGAGCATAGGATTCTTTACTTTTGATTTTTCATGCAATATTGACTATCTTATTTCCTTTTCTGCTTCGTTTTTGTTCAATTTCATGTCACCATCATCTTATAATTTTGCCATCTCGTTTAAAGATCGTGCCATGACGTTCGACACGTTTCTAACGACAATTAATGATTGGGGTCGTTTTCAAAAAACAAAGTTTTTTATTCTCTGTCTCATAAGTATGATACCACCATTTATGTTTTTTACGTGGACATTTATTACAGCAACACCAGATTTTCGATGTCATCTTCCGTACGAGACGGATGATTATAATGCAGAAATGAACAAACTATTCACTCAAACATACCAACCAACTGAAGAAGATTGTGCGACATATGAAAATGGAATCTCATTAAAAGAATGTCAGCAATGCTATATACGAGTTTCCCTACGCAATACTACATCTATTAGCAATCTTCAAACATGCAACAATTATGTATTCGATCAGTCGATTTACAAGAAAACATTGGTTGAAGAAGTGAGTCATGTAATATTCTTCTATGTTAAATAATTTTCTTTTGAATTATTGAACACCAAAGAAAAAAGAATCTCAGAGAAAGACTTCTGTTTCGAATAGATCTCAAATATTTTATGAAGATATCGGATTTCTTAGTCGTCTAGAAAAATCCTATGTAAACACGTTTTCTAGAAAACCTTCATATTACATCTTTTGTAACAAAATGCACCATGAAGTTTATCGAAGAGTTCTCTTTTATATAATTGATTACTTTCTCTTGAAGTGGAATATGGTTTGTGGTCGTATTCTCTATCGTACAGTAGTGCAAGTAGCCTTTTTTCTTGGTATAATGATGGGCGCAATAATATTCGGTAGCATGGCTGATAGGTATGAGAAGTAGAATATTTGTCTTATTTTCATCTTAAATATTATTCGTGTTAAGATATGGTCGTAGACCGACCATGAGTGTCTGCTTCATCATATTAACTGCAGTATGCTTTCTCTCTGCATTTGGTCCACAATCGAAATTCGGCATTCGACAATCACATGCAATTTTTGTTATAAGTCGTTTTTTACTTGCTTTTTCTATAAGGGGCATCATTGAATCCGGATTTGTACTTTGTACAGAATTGGGTGAGGAGTATTCGCTTGAATGATGATTTTTATTGACTTTTGTTCGTCAAAGTTATCCCGACAAAGCGTGTTATGGCAAATTCAGTAATGAACTATGCATATGTGCTTGGAATGTTTTGTTTAGTGACTTTCGCCTATTTTGTTCGTACGTGGAGAATGCTGTTATTGGTCTCGGCTCTATTCACTGTGCCTTTTTGCTTCTTCTATTGGTATAATATTTTTAATAAGCTATATTTTTCTTGAAACAAACAAAACACATACAGAACCTTAATTGTACTCTATTGCATTAGAATTTTACCCGAAAGTCCTCGATGGCTTGTCAGCAAAGGTCAGTACAACGAAGCTGAGAAGATTCTCAAGAAAGCTGCATTGATTAACAAAACAAAGTTTGATCAAGAAGCATACGATACGTTGACGCGAATTTACAGAACGGTGAGCAACTAGGCAAGGCATTGTGTTTCAATAGCATGAAATCATTAATGATTATAGAACAATGAAACAAAAGAAATTCAAACAGGTATTTCAAGTCTGTTTCAGTCTACAATTATGAGTTTCATTACTGTCAATCTCTTTTTGCAGTGGTTAGTTTTGATTTGACATATTATTATTCGAGTTTTGCTTGCGTTTCTCGATAGGTTTACTCAAAATCTCGTCTATTTTGGTGTTTCACAAAATACAGGTAACTCTTCTGGCTTAAATACCAGCAAAGACGATTGTTTATATGGCATTTATTCAAGGAACATGGCAATTCGATCCGTATGTGTCGTATTGTGCTGGTGCATTGGTAGAATTACTGGCATATATGCTATTTCATGGTATACTCGATCGAGTCGGACGGAAGCTGCCTTATTGTTTATTTTCCCTGGTATTTGGTATCATAGCCATGCTAATTATACCATTACAAACCTTCACAAAGCCAGAGCAATCGAGTACGTACACAAATATTTTACATC